TTTCTAGTCTTAATGGGGGGTTTCCTTTCAAACCTTTTGTTTAATGCAGTGTGGAAAGTCAACATTTTCATTATCCCATTACTTTCTCTTAGAGTTATATGTGTTATCCATTTTAGTTGTTGCCACTGTTGGAAGTTTTCAATTGATTTTATTAATTTTTAATGCTCTGAGCATCTGATGAAGGTTTCATTTACTGGAAGTTATTTTTAATTGTTGATCTGAGAAAATGGTTGCATACAGATGATAGTTTGGACATTTATGAATGAGTTGAATACCATGCATGACATTCAGATGAGAATCCAGAACTGACAAAACCATTTAAGAATGACTCAATTTCTTAGATTAATATTTTGCTTTTGCAGCATTTTAATGTTACACTTGGATTCAAATTAGATCTCTCTTTCTACATGTTGATTAGATGTGAATGCTAATGATCAGTTTTATGTTGTTAATAAGTAACAAACTGATCCCCCAGTTTTTCTATATCTTAATATTATAATAGAAAAGACTCATATGTGAAAAACTTGTAATAATAGACTGAACAAGATATGCTTACATTTTTGCTGGCATGCTTAAACTAGTGTTGATATGAGATTCTGTTGGACATAAAGTGGGGGATCAGTTTTATTTTGTTGGTAAGTAATAAACTGATCCCCCTACCCCCAAGAATCACTTTATATTAATGTAGTCATTAATATAAGGAAGAATTGAAGTCACTACTCAAGAATAATGGTCAACAGATTGCCCGAAAAAAAAAAAAAAAAAAAAAAAAAAAAGAAAAAAGAGAAACAAAACTAAAACCATTATTAAAACCTCTTGAAATAATGAATTTGTTTATTTCTAAATTTAGTCCAAGTCTTTCACATTGTGCAATGATTTGCCCTAAAAAAAAAAAAAAAAAAACAACACACGAATAAAAAACATTCTACTTCTGCTTGTTCCTTTATACACTGCCATTGCTTCAAATAAATAATGGACCATTCTGTGTATGATTGTGAGGAAAGATGGAAGAAAAGAATATATAAAATACACTGCTTAGTTTTATTAAAGAAGACATAAATATGCGAGGGAAAGTAAAAATTATCCACACTCTTGTCTAGTTATCTGTTATGGCAAAAGTGTGGATAATTATTGAATTTCCATTATATATTGTGTACATTATTTTTTAAAAGAATTTTCTCCATAATTTGTTGAAGAATTAACCAATATATTGTAGGTAGGGACACAAGTATATTAACAGACAGAATTTAGTTAATTGCAATGTGTAGCTTAAGGAAGAAAGTTTATTTTTTGATAACTTGTTAATTTTAACACCTGCCTATGTTTCTGAGATGAGGTATTATGTACACTATTTACATTATTCGAACTATTGTCCTCATCTTTGTCACCATATTTATTACAACGTTTCGGCCTTTCAGTATCTGTCCATATTTCTGAGATGAGGTATTATGTACATTATTTACATTATTCGAACTACTGTCCTCATCTTTGTTGCCAAATTTATTACGTTTTGGCTGTTATATGCTCCAGCCTTTTTCAGGTGGTTGGAATGTCGAACTGAACCCTTTATTTCACTCACTGGGGTAGACTAATATCACATGCTATGTTTAATGGATGTCAGTTATCTCCTGTTAATTCCCCTCTCCAAGTTCTCCACTGCCTTAACTGGGTATTGAACTCACACTCCTTGGGTCCTATCACAAGATTTAACCAACACTTTTATCCACTGTGCCATGTGTCCTCAAGGCAGTGGAGAACTTGGAGAGGGGAATTAACAGGAGATAACTGAAAAATGACATCCATTAAACATGGCATGTTGTTATAGTGGAACACACCTATTCTATAGTTAATAGACTCTCCCACCTATAATAAGTAGGAGTAGTAAGAGTAACGAATCAGTTAGTCGGTCGATGCCAGACGACAGTTAGTCGAATACTAAAGTATCAGCAACCACAACTAGATTACTCTGCGTAATGCCTATTATATCAAGTTCCTAACGTCTTGTATGTCGAACCTATTTTAGGACCAATTTAGTACAAATACAAGCCTCCACTGCGAAATAACTCCACAACACACATGGAACTAGAACAGTCTACCCCTGTGAGTGAAATAAAGGGTTCAGTTCAACATTCCAACCACCTGAAGAAGGCCATAGCGTACAACAGCTGAAACATTGTAGTAAATATGGCGACAAAGATGAGGACAATAGTCTGAATAATGTAAATAGTGTAATTTTAACGCCTCCAAAACTAAACTTCTCTCCATTAATCATCTGAGAGAACCTTCAATGTCTTTTGTCAGTATTGCTGATGCTATCCTCCAAGAAAGTGACTCATTGTGCATTCTCTGGATCATGTTCTCTGCTGATATGAAGTGGAAAGACTATATTGAACGCATTGCTAGGTCAACTTCTAAGAAAGTTAGTTCACACACCGTCAGGCAAGACACATTTTCTCTCCAGAATCTCTTGCATCTCTATAAGACTATCATTTGTCCAGGCTTAGAATATTACGGCCACATATGGACCGGTGCACCTATTTACCTTGAGCTCCTTGGAAAATATACAATATTATTAGTCCTGATCTGTGCAGATCAGCTTCAGTCACTTTTACACTGTCGTAAGGTTGCCTCTCTGTGTCTTTTCTATAAATACTTTCATGGTAATTTTTCAGGTGTGCTGTTTACTATGGTATCTAGAATTTTTGAATTTAAGTGTTGAGATCTTACAATTAAATTGGTTAGATGTATCTGTAAGTTTTATGTTAAGTTTCTTTTCTCGCACTTCTCACTTGTGGAATTCTCTTCCAGATCCATGCTTTCCAGCCAACTTTAATCTACAAATATCTAAATGCGATGTCAGTCGCTATCTACTGTCCTTCTGATTACTCTCGTCACTTATTATCAACATTTCTGTTCGTAATTCTTCCACACCCTGTAACACCCTCGTGCTTTAGTGGCATTACTGCCTTGCATGGGATAATAAGTTAAACAAAAAAACAGTAATTATAAAATGGTTTTATTTTACAGATGATGATTACAATTTTAAAAATGACTTAAGAGTTGATTATTTGAACTAATATAGCAGATAGTGCATGGATTTCTCGTCTCAGGATGCAAACTTTTAAAATATTTCATACTCATTATCCATATAAAACCTTTTCTGATTACTCCAATACTTTACTTGTGTATAAGATAGAAAAGTGGCTTGTAAAAGTCTACACCCGCTTTGAAAATTTATATATTTTGTGTAATTTAACAGGGAACAACACATTTTTTTCAATTCCAATTATTGTTAAATAATAAGCAGATCCAACACACTTTCCTTTGATATAAAAATTACATTTTAAAAATTTCACACTGATTCTTAAAATCATATAACTTAGAAAAATGTCTTTGCAAATGTCTACAACTTCCCCCCAGATATTATAATGTGTTATCACGTAGTTTATCATTGATGTATACAATCCAGAACAATCAAAAGTGACATGTGCATAACAAGCAAACTAATCCAGTCTATTATTTTGCTATATAAGGTGATTTAACTGCCTACAAAATCATCCACCACATGGTTTCTTGGTATGTTTGGTCTTTGGACTCTGATTGTAAACACAAGGTGTGCAACTTGGGAAAGAAAATGGGCATGCCTCTGTCTCAGGAACTTAAAAACCTTATTATTCAAAAGTATAATGAAAATAATGGCTATAAAAAGATTGCAAAAACTTTAGAATTGCCCTTAAGCACTGTTAAAACTGTAGTTAAGAAGTGGTTAGTGCACAAAACCACAGCTACCCTACCAAGATCTGGGAAACTGAGCAAACTTACTAGAAGAGTAAAATCAAAACTGGTTTGGGAGGCAACCTCCAACCCTAGTGCAACAATGGAAGACTTGAAAGCTTCAGTTTCCAGGACTGGGACAGATGTCCATGCATCTACAATTTCTAGAGTATTGCACCGGTCTGGCCTGCAAAGGAGGGTAGCTAGAAATAAAGCCCCTTCTGAACCCTATGCACAAGCAAGCTAGGCTAAACTTTGCCAAAAGTCACATCAATAATTCCATGACCATGTGGTGAAAGATTTGGTGGTCAGATGAGACCAAAGTCAAGTTATTTGGAAAAAATACGAAATGCTATGTTTGGCGGAAAAAAAGGCAGTGCTTACCAACCTCATTACACCGTCACCACTGGCGGTGGCTTGATCATGCTTTGTGGTTGTTTTTCAGCTGCAGGGCTAGGAGAGCTGGTAACTATCCAAGGTGTCAAGTACCAAGAAATATTGGAGGCAAACCTGCTGAAGTCTGCTAGAGCTCTGTGCTTGGGTCACAATTTCAAGTTTCAATAAGATAACAACCCCAAGCATGTGTCAAAAAGCACTAAAGCTTGGTTGGCTAGCAAGAAAATCAGTTTTGGAGTGGCCCAGCCAGTTTCCAGACCTCAATCCTATAGAAAATCTATGGCGAGATCTAAAGCTGGCTGTGCACTGATGTTCCCCACCCAATCTGACACAGCTTGAGAAGTTCTGCCATGAAGAATGGCAAAAACTGTCAGCAGACCATTGCAGCAAGCTCGTGGAAGGCTACCCGAGGCATCTGCAGGCTGTAATTGATGCAGCAGAATCATCCACAAAGTATTAGCTGAAGACATTCCAAAGGGGGTGTAGACTTTTGCAAAGACATTTTTCAAATGTATCTTGTCTATTAAATAAAAGAGTGATAGATCTGCTTATTAAAACAAATTATTGGAGTTTAAAATATTAATTGTTCCTATCAAAATAAACAAAATACATCCAGTTTTCAAGGTGGGTGTAGACTTTTGCAATGCACTGTAAAATAAGTTTGCTTTCTAAATTTTTTTATAGTGCACAATTTTATTTTTTTTTAGCATTTAGCACTCTGCATTATATATAAATATTACTTCCCCCATTTACTGTATATGGAATCCCCACAAAATATAATATTTTATAGAAAAATTATATGATCTTTATTTAAAATATATTGCCAAATATCAAGTTTTCTGTTTAGGTGTAAAAATTTCAATAGGGACAGAAACTGAGATAAAAGGAGTCTCTTTTGTGGGGCAACAGTGCGGCATATACTGCAGGTGAGTGTTGAGTTGTTCTTCATTGTCTTTCATATTTTCTGTTAAATAGATGTCAACATTACTCTCTTGGTAGGTGACGCTGTTGTTAATGTTGAAATATGCCTGCAGAGTTGAAACAGAATTGGTAAGCATGGAAGAGAAGGAATTAGTCAATACCTTCACTTTTGAATTCAAGACAGCCATTGAAGATGTGTTTAGAGCTTCATGAACATGGCCAGAACTTTCTGAAATGAAAAAGAAGAAACATTATGCAAAAAACTACCAAAGAACAAACGTAAGCTTCACAACAGTTTAGATGAAATGTGACAAGCCTCTCACTACCATATTCTTATTTCCATGATACGTGTTATGATGAGATATATTCCTTAGTCCAGCCAACTATGACCTTTGCAGCTGGGACCCCCACCACGGCATGTACACAATGACGGATCATTCACAATTCCTTGGCATTCCATTAGTAAGAACTAAGTTCTACTTAGGCAGCTCATTCCCAAGTGCTGCTTTGAGGAACACACTACCAGCAGGATGTTTTAACTACAATCTTAAGCCTCTAACTTGAGTTGCTCTTGGGCCTTGTGAACATTAATATATATAAAACAAGTCAACAAATGCATTTAAATTTTGTATGCTGGTGTCCTGTAACTTATTGTTGGATCACTGATTAAAAGTATTTCAGGTAAGAATTCAGTTGTCATTTCTCTTAGGGTGGATTCCATGCCAAAGACTAAATATCAGTCAGCCATATCAATGGGGACGAGATAGATTCAAGCCTCTACCTAAGCTAAGGGGACTCGCGCCTCTACCAGGGCAGAAGCTACGGGGACTCGTGTTTCTCGCAGGGACTTCATACATAAGATTTTTTATTCACAAAGCAGATAGTTTTTTTTTTTTTTGTTTTTTAAAAATCATTTCACCTAAAGCAAAACACGAAAATCCACCAAACCTTATGAGTGAAAGGATCTGAGAGAAATCATCATTATCGAGAGAGACGACTATTTTTGAGTTTGCTTTAACTCCCTAAACTTCCAACATATAGAATTAAAAAAGAAGTTCTTACCATGTAATCTTTCCTGCAACTTTTGTTGAGCATTTTCATTTCCAGCGTTGGCTGATTTCAAGTAAAATTCTTCAGCAAGTTTCTCATCTTTTTGCAAACCTGATGTGAAGCAAAGAGAAAGAAAATCAATCAGCAAATTAAATTTAAATCTTTCAATTCTTTTCAAGATATGTCATGCAAAGTTCCATGGGCAGTGTGTTTGTTTGCTTGCTAGAAGGTTGCCATTTTTTTTTTAAATTATAAAGTCTGTTCTGATCAAGGAATATCAAGTCTAAAACTCTTATTGCAAGAGGTATTTTTAATCAAAGAGGAATAAATAATTTCTGTCTGAAGTTTTACACTTGATAAAACTAGACACATAATGCCACCTACCAATTGAAAAGAATTTATTGAAACCCAAAATAAAATTTGTTATAACTACATAAAAAATAAGGGATTTAATTAAAACAACATAAAAACTGAAGCAAGAATTTACAGTTAAAAATACGTTACAAGAGATAGATAAAGGAAACATCAATGAATGTAAATTAAAGCTTATATGAACACAAAAATGATCTTTGTTAAACAATACACTCAATCTATTAGTCATGACAGAATGCAGTTTTAATTAAAGGAGAAAGTAATTAAAGTGAAAATATATTGAAAGTGTACTAATTTCAGAATCTTCTATAAATTCATCTTCACAATCATACTGTTATAGACAAGTGTATGGTTGCAGGAAAGAAATACGACAACAGCAGAAATAGATTTACGCAGTTTATTTCAACAGGAACGTGAGGGTTTGGGACAGCTACCTTGTGGTAAAGTTCATAAGCCGGCTTCGATCTCTCATAGTAGTTCACACATGTTGACGGTGGTTGATGCTCCCCTGCTGCTGATCGCTCAGCCTGACCATGACAGGTCTGTTCGCTGGCCACCTGTTAACTGCCTGTTGAACTTCCGTGTGACCCCTTTTATAGCATTTTTTATGGCTTAACAGGCTCGAAAAACGAAGCGATTATAATTAAGAGGGAAGCATATTTATTGGACAAAAATAGAACACTTTAAATATTATTTTATTTTTCGACCGGAACACATGTGTCGGGAATATTTGTAAATGAAGATAATGGTCATTTTGTGACGGGGTTTTGTCCCGTTCACATCCGGCTCTCACTCTTGAGTATTTGCCTGTAAATCAGCTGAGATATGTCTTATTTTATTTTATAACAATACAACATCTGTCGTTTCTTAACCAAACTACAACCAGTTCAATGTCAGATTTTTAAAAGCAAGTGTAAAAGCAAAAGGCAGTAGAAAGATGAATGGGGTCTGAATCTAGATATATTGAATCCCCTAAATTTATTAATTTAAAGTGTCCCTGCCTAATGAGCATTTTCTCAGTGTGGAATTGTAAGCAACATTTGTTGTATTTTGTTTCCTCCTCCTGAATAGATATGATTCCTACAATAGAAACATTAACCTGAAGAAGTCCTTTCAAACACAGGATTTAATAGTTACTCAGTTTAATTGGATGTAAAAACAAATGAAGTATGTGTTTATTTACATTATACACTGTCCAGCCCAGAGATTGAACTCACAATTACTATGTCACCAAAATCACAATCCAGTGCTTTAATCTACTTGTGCGGAAGTGTGTACTTGGAAATAGGACAACTGAGCTGATCAACTAAATAACAACTAGACAAGATTATCCCTACACATGGTCAACAGGAGAACAACCTACCCTTAAGATTAAATAAAAGGTTCTGTTCAAAATTCCCTGTAGTTACCTGAATTGACACAAGACCTGATGAATGCCTGAGTGCACAATGACCAAAATATTTTGATGAGAGAGAGAGAGAGAGAAAGAGAAAAAGAAAAAAAGAGAAAAAGAAAGAGAAAAAGAAAAGAAAGAGAAAAAGAAAAGAAAAGGAGAAAAAGAAAAAGGAGAAAAAGAAAAGAAAGAGAAAAAGAGAAAAGAAAAAAGAGAAAAAGAGAAAAGAAAAAAGAGAAAAAGAGAAGAGAAAAAGAGAACAAAAATCTGCATGTAAATAATGATAAATCCTCCTCCCAAAAATTCAGACAAGAATGTGTATGCTATATTTGATAAATGTCATACGATTTTTTTTTTTTCATGATTTTTAAAGCCAATTTGTGAATTACCATTATCTCCAGAAATCTCTAATGTTTCTATCAGAAGATAGAATGTGTGCCGATTCTTGTGAATTAGGTGAATTTCACCAGCGTTTCCACATTTTGTACTTTGTTTTGTCTGAACCTCAAATTTATCATTTCTCCTCTTTTTAGTTTTGCTAATTGCTTAACTTAATGATTGCGTAATTTCAGTGTAATATGTTGTGCTTCACATGGTGATCCCAAAGCAAGCAATAAACAATGGGTCCCGAAACCCCTGTAGAAAATTCTGATAAATCAACCCCCAAAAAATAAACAAGAAAAACTTTTATATTAGTGATCTTTAATAAGGATGCCTCGAGAAATTTAGCAGTTTCTGTCTGAATTTCTGGGATGAGAAGTTATCATTATTTACATTTGTACTGATATTTAGCTTGAAATTTTGTGATGGTGACCCAGATTGATAGAGACCTGAAGAAGGCCAGAAGACATGGCTGAAATGTTATTTCAGAATAACAACAAAAATGAGAACATTAGTCTGAAATTTAGGTTTATCCCAAATTAGTAAAATAGCTGTAGACCTTACCTCCTAATCCTTTTTCGTAGAATCTGGCCACAGAGAATTGAGCTTCAGAATGTCCACTCTCAGCTGCCTTGAGAAAATATTCAGCAGCTTTGGATTCACTTTGTTCAACTCCAAGTCCATTCTCAAAACAAATGCCAAGGTAGTAGAAAGCTTCACTATCCTGATTGCAAGAGAGAATGTCATTTTCAAACTTTGAATAAATTTTATTTCTTCAGATGCCCCAACACAAATGTTGATTTGCAAAATTTGAACAAAAATAAAAATAGAGCAACAATTAAATGAAATAAAAAGTAAATTTTTATCATGTTACGTGCAGGATAATTAAAAAAAAAAAAAAAAAAAAAAGAAAATTATTACTGATACCAGCAAATGAAATAACTTGATACAAAAGTTACTGTTGTTTTTCTTACAAACTTTTTTATCAACATAAATTCATAGCCACATTATTTACATTATTTGGACTATTGTCCTCATCTTTGCTGCCATATTTATCACAACGTTTCGGCCCTTGTACGCTCCGGCCTTCTTCAGGTGGTTGGAATGTCAAACTGAACCCTGAACACAGTGGATAAAGGCGTTGGTTAGATCCAGTGACAGGACCCAAAGAGTGTGAGTTCAATACCCGGTTAAGGCAGTGGAGAACTTTCAGAGGGAAATTAACAGGAGATAACTGATATCCATCAAACATGGCACGTGGAACTAGAACAGTCTACCCCAGTGAGTGAATTAAAGGGCTCAGTTCGACATTCCAACCACCTGAAGAAGGTCAGAGTGTACAAAGGCCAATACGTTGTGATAAATATGGCGACAAAGATGAGGACAATAGTCCGAATAATGTACATAATACCTCATCTCAGAAATATAGACATAAATTCATAGCATCGTTATTCATTCATCAAAGTATTTTCCTCGGCTTTCTATGACGTTATGCTACCTTCCAAGTAAATTGTGTATTCCATCATACAAATTGTGTATTCTATCAATGCAAAAGTTTCCAACTTTATACTAGTAAAATCTTATTCATACAAATACATAGCATCTTTATACAGTCCACAAAGTATTTTCCTCAGCTGCCTATGATCTTATGCCACCTTCCCAGTAAACTCTGCATTTCATCATGCAGGTTGTGTATTCCAGAAATGTAGGCCATTCTTGCCCACTTTGGCTGCTCAGATCATGCCACAATAAAATGAAGGGCTATTTGAACGATCAAGTGTCCTCTTGGACCTGTTTCCAATCCTCGGTAGCCTTAAGCAGGGTTGTGTGCTAACTCCAGCACTCTTCTCCCCCTTACCTCACTGCCATGATCAACAAGATCCCACTACCCCTGGAAGCACTGGCATTGACGTCTATTACAGATTCAATGTCAGACTCTTCAACCTCACTTGACTTTATTCTCACACAAAGAGTTCCACCACCCACGTGCAAGAATTTCAATATGCTGGTGACAATGCAACTGAACCAGACTGCCATTAACCTCCAGAAATCGGCAAACCTGTATAACAAGGCCTACAAACAATTTAGGATGAAGGTCAATGTCAAAAAGGCGAACATCCTCATCCAGCCAGCTACTTGACAAGCAACACAAGATGCCAGCATCAACATCAATGGACAGCCAGTAGAGGCTGTCAATTTCTTTATGTTGGTAGAATCATGTCACCTACAAGATAGATCTTGACAACAGGATCAAAGTGGCTCATACTGTGTACAGAACGCTCTCACACTGGGTTTTCAGCAATCACAGCCTCACCATATGAACCAAAATCATGGCTGCTTGGCTGTGGTCCTTTCCACCTTTCTGTATCTTTATGAGACATGGACTATCTTCAGGACATCAAATGTCTGGAGCAGTTCCAACAAACAATGCTCCAAAGAATTCTTTACACTAACAAAGATATCCTCTTTCAGACATCTCTCCCCAGCATCAAGGCTACCATCCTTCAACATCACTTTTGCTGGAGGGTTGATTTGACCAGAATGTGTCCCACTTGTCTCCTACGTATCATCCTGTTTGGAGAACTTGCCAGCAGCAAAAGGCTACGTGGAAGCCTAAGGATCAGTAGAAAACATCTCTGACACAGGCCAACGTCAACCCTGAGACCTGGGAAACCGTTGCTGCAAGTCGGCCTTCTTGGCATAGGACCATTTGTGGGTTGGGAGTCCAAGACTTTTGAGTTCAACTTTCAACATGAAGAGGGTCTGTGACATGCTTTCAGGAGGGTCCGACTTGCCCAGCTGCATCCACCATCCATACTCCTCTGTGACTCCTGCTCGTGACTCTTCAGGAGTAGACTGAGCATTCCCATCTATATCTGCCAGCAGACGGGAGAAAAGGAATATGGAGAGAGGATGAAAATTCTGATGCTTGGATGCGAACAGGTGCCGACTAAACCACCGATGCAAAAAGTTTCTAGCCTTATTCAAGTAAAATCTTATTCATACAAATTCGTAGCATCATTATTCAGCCCTCAAAGTATTTCCTCATTCTTCTATGCCTTAATCTCATTTTTCAGCAAAAGTGTGGATTTCTTTATAAAAGAAAAATCCTGGTTCTCTTTAAACAAATTTTTGGCAAGGATTGTTTTTCTCTTGACACCGCTATTACTGTATACTCTCATGACTCCCTCAGCAATGTTTGTTTTAAAATGTTATATTAAGAATCCCCCCTCCAAAAAAAAAAAAAAAAAAAAAAAACTATGACACACCATTTAGTCATCAGATTGTTTACCTACAAGGTTAATTTTATATCTAGAAGATTATAAAAATATGCAGATATTCAAATTGATTGGCAATTAGTCAATGTTTTTCATATTTGTTTCTTTATAAAATCATAAATAATAAATATTGTATTGTAGTTGGTTTTTATAATTTTGTAAATCTTACTTATTATAAAATGCAGATTGTGTGTGTGTGTGTGTGTGTGTGGCTGTACGTTTATATATTGGAGCGGATTTCCTACATTTTTCAACCGATTTCAACAAAACTTCACAGGACTATGTAAAATTACCTTGCGGTGGTTCTGACAGCACCAAAAATTGGAAAAACACAATTGTTTTTGCACGAAAAAATTTGAAAACATGATTAAGAGGCATCGCTTTCACGAGAATGAAAGAGGGACAACTCATATAGAGTTATACCTATTATAAAACCCAGGTTTTTTTTGTGTGTGTGTGTGTGTGTGTGCATGTTCGTTTATATATGGGATCGGATTTCCTACATTTTTCAACCGATTTCAACAAAACTTCACTTTTTTCTTTATTTTTACATTCAGAATGCTTTAAAAATTACATTTACAAGACAATTGTTTATAATAAAATTCTGTTCAATTGGTGGACTCATAACGATTGAAAACAATGTTTTTGTATGAGTTTGGGTTTGACCAATTCGTAAAAAAACAAAAACAAAAAAAAAAAAAAAACTAATTAAGACATGCATGTCCGTCAACCTTAAACAATATTCTTTGTCAATGATTGTCGATACTTGATCTATCTCTTACTGTTACATCCTCAGGTAACGCCGGGTTCTACTGCTAGTATTTAATAAAAAGATATGTTTTCATACTTATTTCTTTGTTTTGATTTGTTTTTTTTTTTTATAGCTTACCAACCCTTTGCAGCTTATTTAAAGCCAGAAAATATTTTTACACTCTAAGAATTTTCTTTTTGAATATAATAAATATTTAGTGATACTAGTTTTGTTAATTAACCTGTTGCTGGTGAGAAAAGAAGTGGATTCATGCCTTTTCCCAAGTGTATTTGTGCATAAGTGAATATAACGAACCCAACTGGAATTGGAACTTGGCTTCCTGAGCCATTATTCATTACACCACCTACACATCCAAACTTACAGTGCCTGGTACTGCCAAGCAGTCACCTATCTGGATACAGACCAGGCTTGACATTGCTTAACTTTGGTGACAGTATGGGAACTGGGGTTTGTGGCTGTAAGCATATTTATTTCATTATAAAATGGTAAATAATAAATATTTTATTATCATTGTTTCACATATTTTTAAAATCTTGTAAATACAAAATTATTCATGTAAATAAGCAATCTAATAAATAGTGTTTAATAAAGAAAACATAAATCCACTTTCATGTTAGAGTTTAGAGTTTTAATAAAAAACAAATTTTTTATACTCTTGTAAATATAATATTCAGTGTTTAGTTTAAAATTAGATATGTATTGAAGTTTTTTCCAGTCTTGTAATTTATTTATTTTTATATAGTCACTTAAAAAAGAATAAGACATATAATTCCGCACAAAATATTAAATTACTAATTATACACTCACTCCTCACTTAATGACTTACCTGTTTAATGATTCCCTAGGCTTATGACCAGCTAAAAAAAAATCTCATTTAAAAAATAAAAAATGCCAGGCTATTTAGAATTATTTTTATAATTTTTTATTACATTTTTATATTTTTCAGTAAATGTTTCCTATTTTTTAAAAAATTAATCAAATAAAATAAATAGGAGTAGATAGGTTCCCCTATCGCCCGGTTCACACTCCTCCCTGGTCTTTTGAACAAGAGTAAAGGTTTATCCCTTATCTCCTGTTCAGGACTGGCTTTCCAGTTACTTCTAAAGTATACTTCAACTTTATAATTCTAACATCTCCACCTAAACTCTGAAATTTATTTAGTATTTATTTTTTCCCTTCTATTATGAGTAGATTGGTTCACCTAACACCCGGTTCACACTCCTCCTTGGTCTGTTGGTCAGGAGTAGAGTTTTATCCTTTGTCTCCTGTATAGGACTGGGTTTTCAGTTACTTCTAAAATCATATTCATTCTCTTTCACTTCCAGTAGCCCCTTGCATCTTAGTGGCATTATTGCCTTGCTCAGGGTGAAATGACTAAAAGTATAGAATAGGCAAACCAATGTAGAGAATATAGAGCAGATTCTAGAATTTTTATATTACATTTACTGTGTGGCACCATTTAACGAGGCAGAAAAAGAAAAAAAAGAAAAGAAGAAAAGGAGAGGCTAAGGACCGAATCGTGGATGATAAGCAGAACACACACACGGCTAAGAGAAAATGGATAAGGGACATTTTGATAAGTAACAAATGGCGAAAGGGTGTCATTACAATGACAGGGAAATTCTGAGTAAAAAGAAAGGGAAAGAAAGAAAGAATCAGATATGTTTTGGCGACGGCTGTGTTATCTAAGGATATGAAAACAAACTATTGGTACGGGAAGGCATCTTATTATCAACTACAGACCGACTAGCCAAAGAAAAATTCAAATGAAAATGTTATTTCGATAAGTGACGAAAAAACAGGCAACTAAAAGGACTTTGGACAGATATGAAAAAATTAAAAGCCACCCACAAGTGTCCGCTGACCAATTTCCTTCGATGGAACATCCTTGGCCTGCGATAATAAAATTATGTTATCAGAAATATAAAATCAAGGGAAATGAATGGGAATTTAGAAATGTCTTTTCGGGGCGACATTGGCCGTGTTAAGAAGACCACCCATTCTGATAATTGATAAAATAATTGACGAAAACCAGGTGTAGAACAAGAGTTATGACCAACCATCTTGCGGCTAGGGAAAATGATAATGGCGATTAAGAGGAAGAAAAGGAAAAGAAGGGATAATTTTTTAGTTAAGCAAGATTTTTTTCCCTGAAACAAAGCATGGATTCGCCCCACGCCCTGACTAAGACATCATTGGTCGAGGTGATCAAATGATAAGGAGGCTGTCGCCGCCTCATTATAGGTATGAGAAAAAGAAGTGGGGAGGGCAAAGAAGTATGGTGAGAAGGTGGGATAAGGTTCCCAGAAATGGAGAGAGGAAATTTAACCAAGAGGTTGATATGTATTTAGAATTATCGAGGAAACCCCCCGACAGACCCAAATCCACAAGCGAAGCCACAACGAGCAGAAATCAGTTCCAGTTCAGTTCCAGAAAAGTTTGAGTTGAGTCTCCAGTTGAAGCTCGCCGCAGATAGCTGACCAAGATTCCGAAGAAATTCGGACTCCTCTTCAACCCAAGAACAATTATTTTGAAGAGTCTTTAGATTCAGACCACCGAAATAAGTTTTTTTCGACTTTTGAAAGACACACCAAAAACCAATTTCTTAGAGAGCAAACAACTTGAAGATATTAAAACTCGAATTAACGAAAAAACCCGATGTCACAATCCACAGAACGGTCGGGAGATAGATGCAGTCCTATGTATCGGAACAACTAGACATAAAGTTTGTTACCTTTTTCTATGATACTTTGAACTTTTGAGTTTTCATTTATTTTCTTTTATGCATATTTGTGTGGTATCACCCCATTGAACTCGGTTTGCATTACGGCCCCAGCCACTGATTGATCTCTCTCGCCTAAGATCAATTCACAGCGTGTAGGCAGACTGGAGATCTATGCAGTTTTTTTGGTAACCAGGAGGAGGAAGGGTATCAAATCTAACCAGAAATCACCAAAAAAAGGTTAGAACGTCAGTGACTTCATAAAGTTGGTTCCACAGGATCGGTGGACAACACGATTGGAACAGGCGGAACCACCCGAATGGAGCAGCGAGGAGAGGTGGATATGTATTTAGAATTAGACCAGGATAGAAACCCACGCCACTTTTTGTATAAACATTTAGAAATAAAGACCCAAAAATTTACATATATTTTGGATCGGCATCTCGTTTGTTGGCACAAACCCATAACATGTAGTTGGCCTGAAATTAATGGTCAGGTACAACTACTCACTTAGTGACCAGCTCATTTAGATACCAAGGTCATTAAGTGAGAAGTGGTGATATTAAAAAAAAATATTGCTCTATTTTCCACACTGTTATAAATTTCCTTAAAAATAGAATTTAGCATCAGAGTACAGTATCATTTGTGTAGCAAGCAGAGAAAGTCTTTTTTTTTGCCCATTGTAATCAATATAATAAGACAAGTTTGCTAACCATTACACGATGCCAATGCGCTTTGAAGGATTTATGCATATGGGTGTCTCATGTTTTTTGTTCTAGTTTGGTTTGGAAGAGAGGTTTTTGTCATGAGTCTGGTTTGGTTTATTTTGTTTTACGGTATATCAACACCTCAATGGGTTATTTAATGCCAATAAGATTTTTAGGATAGGTTCGTATGAATAGACTATGCATTCTTTGTAAGAAATTAATTTGTAATTCAGGTTTCATTGATGTATTTTTTGTAAAGAGGGTTGCATTGGTTTGTTAATTTTATTTAGTGGTATTTAGTGGCATATCAATCTCTATGGTTATTTAATGTCAAAAAATTTAAAATTTTGAATGCAATTTTATGGCTTCAACTGAATATGTTTTCTACATTTTTTATACTTTGAATAAACCTATGTTTTTTTAGATATATAGTTTGTAGATCATAAAGGTTATTGTTGGTTATTTTACTATAAAATGTATTTTTTTAATTTTTTTAGTATTGCATTGACTGACTTTTTAGCTGGGACCCTAACAGGTGCTACCACCCAAGGTCAGGGTGAAACCTGAGAACAACAGCAATTAAGAGGTAGTTTGAGACTCCTCAAAACCTCTAATCTCCAGTCCTTGTTTTCATATAAAATAGAATTTAGCAAGGGTACAGCATCATTTGAGCAAATAGAGAAATTTTTTTTGTTGCCCATTAAAATCAATATAAGGCAAGAACAATATAAGCCAAGATCTCTCCAAATGTGTATAAATGACTGGCTATTAATTGTTTCCAAGTATACACGTCTGCCAAGGTGGAGTTAACCAGACCTTATTACAGACACTAGTTCTGTTTATACTGCCACTGTCGTGTTGCAGAAGAAGCGGAGAAGACTGGACTCCAAATCAACATCGGGAAGATGGAGGTCACAAGGGTAAACAACAGACAACAAGATCCAGTGTGACTACATCAAGAAGACATCAAAGAAGTCGATAAGTTTGTCTACCAGGGAAGCATTGTCAGTAAAGATGAGCCGGGTGCAGATGAAGACATCAAGTGCCCAATCAACAAAGCCTGACAATCTTTCAACACTCCAATCGACCAATCTGGAGATCAACAGCCCTCCTCACTTTACAACAAGATCTGGATCTTCAACACCAACATCAAGTCGGTCCTACTTTATGGCTCAGAAACCTGGCGGGTAACCAAGACCCCCCTCCCCAAACTTCAGACATTTACCAACCGACGTCTCAGGAACATCCTCAATATCAGATGACCAGAAGTCATCTCCAACGACCAACTGTGGATCAATTGATGTTGACATCAAGAAATGGAAATGGGGATGGATCAGCCACACACTCCACAAGCTTACTTCTTGTATCACCAGGCAGGCCCTTGACTGGAATCCACAAGGGAAGCGAAAAGTGGGTCAACCAAAACAGACTTGGCATAAAAGTGTTGATACAGAGGTGAAAGCAGCTGGCACAACATGGTCTGAACTGAAGGGGACCACCCAAAGCCACCCAAAGGTCTTGTTGCGGCCATATGTTCCCCAAGATGTATAAAATAAAAAAAAATAAAAAAGAAGCTGAGCAGACCTTATTTAGTTTCTGGGAAAGAGCCAATGATCTAGCCTGATCAATTTTTCAAACAAGTCAGTGACATACATGCAAACATAACTGTTGATGACGTCTGAACAGTTCCAGCTCTCCAATTTCACTAACAATGTTTAGGTGAACTTATGGTTTTCAGGTACTTTCCAGAAGTCCTGCACACCAGGTTTGTCTCTACAGGTGGATAACATCAGAAAGTTAGGTACCTGACCAACATAGTGAGATTTGAACCCATAACTCAATTTTTTAAAATAATGTTCACCCAATACAAGGCCCAAGGGCCACTCAAGGCAGAGGGTTACTGTGTGGAGTTGTATTAGCATAAAAAAGGGCAAAATAACAGCAAAGTTATACAGCTAATTCTCATGTTGAAGAAGTCAAGATTTAATTAGCAAATAAAATTTCAGAGTTGAAGCAGAGACATTAGGAGTGTAGAGCTGAAGTAGACTTCAAAAGGGACTGGAAACCTAATTGTAAACAAGAAACAAGGGATGAACCTCTACTCTTGTTCAGAAAGCAAACTCATCCATGTAGCCAATCATGTGTATATAAAAGATGGTATAATAGATATCAATCATGTGTGTATAAAAGATGGTATAATAGATATCAATCATTGATGTTTATAACGAACCTCCTGTTGAGCAGCAGCAGTGAACATCTCCACGGCTTTGGAGAAATTGTTTGTTTCACCTTCAGCATAAATAACACCAATGTAAGTTTGCGCCTGAAAGAATTTAAAAGTACAGAGACCATTAAATTTTATCAAAACAATGACAAACAGATTTAGTATTGTATTAAATATATACAGAGGACAAAGTTACACTTGATTTTATACTACAGTCATATTAAATTCCACATAATGCACAGCAAACAAGTGTATTATTGTTTTTAGTTATAACCAACAGGGAATAAATTCTACAATCCACCATCCCCCAAATTTATGGACAAATCCTACAGTTGCAAGCTGGGATTGATTAGTAACCAATAAAAATTGACAATTCTCAGTTTAATCCCCCAGCTTTTCATGCTTTCTTGCTTTAAAGTCAAAATGCTATAACCACTTGACTGTATCCCTTTTGCATGAGAATACAACTACTTTGTAACAGCAAGTCAAAAAGGCAAAGCAAAGTGACATTAGTAAAGCAAAAAAGGATCATAAAAAAGAACAGTTATTACACCCTTGTGAAAATTAATTAAAACAACCACTTTAGTTTCCTTTCTTCTATCATACAGTCAGTTTTAAATCCACTGGAGTGACAGGGTGTAATCGATTTCTATTTTTTCCCCTCAGATTAGGTCATTTGCAGTGGTGTGCAGTAACATGAATATATTTTCATATCTTTGGCCTTGAAAAATATTGCGTCATCTGTGATTGCATCATATTTTCATCATGCCCAGACACTACTGTCTCAACTGTCGATTAGTTGTCTTAGAGCCATTGTTTGCGATGGACATTACTCTAAGGAACCATACAAAAATTGTAACATTGCACGAACACACCGGCAAGCCTTACCAGTGAGCAAATCAACGTACTATAGACTGGCCTAGATTCTCTCCTGATTTAATTCCAAAGAAGAATCTGTGGTCAATCTGCAAGGAACGATTTCGTGGAATGGACATACAAAGTATTAACATGTGCACTGGGTCATGTTTTATTGGAAAAATACAAAAAGAAAGTAAATAATAACAGAATTATTCATTTTGTTTCAATTAATTTGCACAAAAGGTTGTACCATTTGGGCTATTTAACATTATATTGAAAATGCACCAATTTCAGATTCTTCCATAAATTTATGTTCACAATCATACAATATCTGTTCTTTCCTAACAAAACAATTGCTATTAGAGTTTTGAATATTCAAAAATATATTGCACAATATTATTTGGCTCTATTCTTTTTCATCCATTTATTGTTTATCGAGAATTTTTGACAGTTCCACTTGTTGAGAATTCTGTCAATCTTCTGATAATTTTTCAACCATGGTCAATCATTCCACAATCATAAACTAGCAGTCCACAAATGCATTAATGTTTTTATTTCATATGCACAAGTCAAAGAGGCTGCTCTTCATCTTTATAGTGTTTAGGGATAACATTCTCTGAGGGCGTTGATAGCTGTGCTAGCACGAATTCACAAGTCATTGTTGCCAAGGGCTCGAGCGTGCTGGTGTTGTTCAAGTTGTTGATCATACTAGATAACATGCACTTTCTCAGAAACTGTAACTAAGGTCTGCTCAGCATAGTTGCAGTATAAACTACAGGTGTGCCTGAGCAAGCGTCTGCAATTGGGATTGGCTAGCTGCCCTAGTAGATGGGTATCCTTGAATACAAGTGGCCAGCTATACATACATATACATACATACATACATTCTATCCTTGCTATTGAGCACTTTTACCTATAAGCATAGCATAGCTTAAAACTAGATTTTATCACATTATATATGTGATAGAAATATAAGTAAGAGACAAACCTGTGGAAGACCAAGTTTTGCAGCATGTTCCAAAAGGTTAATGGCTTTCTTTAAGTGAGAATCCTCTTGCTTGTTCTCAGAATCAAAGCATAATAGAGCCAAATTGTACATCGCCTGGCAGTGGCCCTGATCTGCTGCCTTTTGGTAATGCTCCATTGCCTGCA